GGGGTTCCCGTTCCTCCCGGGGCGAGGTCAGAAACAAGGGCAGGGCCCGCTCGGAAGCTCGGAATTTAAAACCGGGAGAGCCCGAGAGTTCTCCTCCGGGCGATGAACCGCGAGAATCTGCAGGGGCGACCTGCGGGGAGCGCCAGGTCGGGAGGCGGAGAGGCGGCATCGCGGAGGCGCCGGCTGGCGGGTGGAGACGATCCGACGGGCGTCCAGGCCTCCGCACAGCCCTTCGCTGTCACCCGCGCCCCGCCGCGCCCTTCACCCCATCCCGAGGGGCGCCTTCCCTTCCAGCAGGCTCTGTCACCCGTCCGGGCCCTATGATCTGTGCCATGTCACCCTCGTTGCTTTCCGTAACTGCAGCCTGTCCCGTTTGTTTCCAAGAGACCTTTGCCAACGCGCTCGTCAAGGAATGGCTCTCCGGCCGCTTCACACAATACCTAAGTGAGCAGAGAGCGGTGGCACGCGTGCCATCCCAGCACTCGCGGTGGCTGAGGCAAGAGGAGCGCAAGCGCAGGCCCAGGCTGGGGGCTTAACAACCTGGGGAGACCCCGCCTCACCGTGAAAAAGTATTCCACAGAACAGCATCGGAGGTCCCGGAACAGACTCCTGGGATGCTGCCAGGTGGCTGCCGCAGTCCTCCTTCTGCCGACGGCGCCGAGTGCTGGCTTCAGATCATCCTTTTTAACTTTGGGCATTTTTGATGCTATGTTACCTGAGAACTCTGTCTCCTTTTTGCTTCTTTTAACTTTTTCATTCATTGCTGGTAGGACTCAAAATAGCTTCATGTTTATTGGCGGTTTGAATGTTTTTTCTTTTCTGCATTGCCTCTGAGTTATTTGTGTCTTTGTATATTGCTATAATCTTCTATTCATGCTTGAGAGCCTGGTACTTTAGGGATATAAACAATTGCTATTTGTTTTTTAAGGCTTTCCCAGTGAAGGGTTTCTAGCAGTAAGCCCTAATTCCTTAGGCCCCTATTTTATATAATGAACTAACATCTACCTTAAATATTTAGAATAGCAGTGCTGTAGAACTGGTAGAATTTAGAAATCAGGTTGTTTCTGTGTTTGGTGGTCCAGAGGGTGGAAAATCACGAAGGGGAAAGAGGAATTTGGCTCAAGCGACCCAAGAGATTTCCTTTCAGGGTGACTAGCCATCATCTGGAGTGTAGAGTGAGGTTGACATATGAAAGATGGGAATTCTGGCTATAAACAAACTTCACAGGATTCTTGCTAAAACTGAATGGTGCGGAGATGAACACGGAAATCCGAAAACCAAGGCATAGTTTGAGAAAAAGAGCTCAGAAGCATCTGAGTTGAGCAGAAAATCTTTGTCCCCTTTGAGGGACTCGACTCTCACCTCCTAGAGGCCTTAGGGTCTTCGCTTCACATCCAGGGTCTCGGTTTCACCGTGGCGTGACGGCATGCCACGTCCCTCTCCCTTCATTCCTGCCACGTAGTGGACCCTAGCATCCCACGACTCTTGAAGAACTGCAGAATGTACAAAATGAGCTGCCTGGCGTGAGGACTGTTCAGGGCCAAAGGCAACTGAGAAGAAGCAGATACAAGACTAGTTCTCCTCCCCTCTCTTTTAACTAGAAGCAGGACATAACTGTGTCAGGAATTCCCACCTCCTCACTCTACCAGAAGCCCACGAGTCCGCCACTGCAGACAATTCTAGGCCCTTGTCAACTCAGACTGGGAAGCAGGGGAATCTGCAGAAGAAACCTTGCTCCCTAGCCCTGGTTTGAAAACCTTAGTTTCTCCAGATAGTTGCCCGGTCCTGGGGAACACTCAGTCTTTTACCTCTAGTGTTTAGTTTTTAGCTTAGTGTTGAATTAGGGTCTTTGTAGATGTTGTTTATCAATTTGTGGTAGCTGCCCCTCTACCCTTAAGAGATTTTTTTTAAAAAATCATAAATGGATGTTGAATTTTGTCAAACATTTTTCCTGTATCTGCTGATGAGATTGTATTTTTTTAGATTGTTAATGTCATGGATTACTCAGACTGATTTTCAAATGTTGAACCAAACTTGCATTCCTGCAATAAATCCAACTTGGTGATGGTGATTCTTTTTATACATTGCTGTTGTAAGGATCCTTGCACCTAAGTTTATGAAGTTCATAAGTGATAGGTTTTATTTCTTGCTTTTTCCTCTTTGGTTTTGGTATCGGGATAATGTTAGCTTCATACAATAATTTGGTGTCATATTTTCCTCGGATTGGGTCTTGAGGTCTCTCTTAGCAGAGTGGCTATAAATTCGTGTGCTGCCTTAATGGGGCTCTAGGGATTTGGTCACAAATGTCCTCAATATGCTTTCCCTAGAGTGCTTCTTCACGCTGGTGGATGGCCTAATGCTGGAGTCTCCAACCCATGACCGGGGTCTCAGGAAATTAGTTGACACTGGCGGACCCCTTTTTGGCTCTTGTCAGACCTATATCCTACTGTTGTGGCTTGATTCTAGATGTCCCCCCAAAGACTCATGCAGTCCTAGGTGGGGCTTTTTGTCGGTGGCTGGATCACAGGTGAGTGATGCTGGGATCAAGGATGTGGTGCTGGCATTGATTCATGGTGCAGTGCTGGACCCTGGGTGTGAGCACTACCTGCCCTAAGGGCGGGTACCCTGGATAAGATACGAGGGATAGAAGGTGGGTCATCACTTGTTGCTTGTCACTTATTGCTGCTGCTGTTTGTCTTTGCTGCCCCCTGCCTGCTCTGCGATGCCCCTCTACCATGCCACCTTGCCTGTGAGCCAGCTGACTAGGGACTAAAACCTCTACAGACTGGGAGCCAAATAAACCTTTCCTCTTGTAACTTTGGGTGTTGGGTATTTTGTCTCAGCAGCGAGAAAAGTAACTAAGACACCTACCAAGATAGCCATTCTCTCCTGGCCAGGAAGAAAGTTAGGTTTGAGTGCACTGGTCAGATGAGACATAGACCAGGCAGTACAACAAACAGACACAGCAGAAGCAGGGTGCCACTTATTCCAGAGAAGAGGGCACGTGCCTCACAGCACCAACAGAAAGTAGGACCCACCCGGGGCATGCATGTTCGACCAGTGCATGAGGAGCAAGAGAGAACAAGGGCTTGTGCCTGAAGTCATTGTTGGGGCCCAGGGAATCACCCAGGTGGGTTCCCCTCGGGAAGATCTAACTGGTATGTGTGCAGCCAGCAGATCAAGTTCTTGGAGTCATGCTGTGCCTTTCTGTGCAGTCCATGTGGGGTGTTGTTATGCTTTGGGGGTGATTTTGCAAGAGGAAACAATAAAATACAGGATACATATTTTACAAGATTATTTATAATAGTCACCCAAAGAATGATATACAAAAGAGTGCAGGAAATCCCTCCACATACTATAGACCAAGGAATCTAGATAAGGGCCTGGATGGCGGAGTAATGTCCTGCATGAGTCCAGCTGAAGACCTAAAGCCCGTAACAGTGCCTCCCATGAATCCAATTGGAGGCCCAGAGCCCACGACAGTGTCTCATGCAGGCCTGTTTCAAGATCTACACTGGGAAGGTCCAAAGGTCAGTGGTGGAATCTAGAAAGTCTGTGCCAGCAGGATGAAGGATCTGTGCTAGCAGGCTGAGGGATCTGCACTGGAGCCAGGAAGTGATGCTAGGAAGAACCAGAGCTCCCCTGAAAGGTACCATAGTCCTCCTTGGCAACAGTGAGGTCCCGAGCTCCTCCACTGGTGAAGACAGCTGAGTTCCCATCAGGAAAGCCAATGCAGCAAGCTTTTCCAGGAGACTGGCAGTGTACCATCTTCCCCTCCAGAGCCAGGAAGCGTTGCTCAAAGTGAAGACCAGAGCTACCCTAAAGTGAACCGAAACTATTCTCAGTGCCAACAAGGTCCAGAGCTCCTCAGAGGATGAAAACAACCGAGTTCATCAGGAAAGCCAGTATGACAAGCTCCTCCAACAGAACCAACAGCTCCTTACAGCTTCTACCAGCTCCCAATAGCCTTTCTCTGCTCCCGACAACCTAACTTCTTCTCCAGTTCTGCCTCTTATGCTGCTGGCAACAATCCCCAGGTGGGCCTCCCAGCACCACACTTGCTCAGTTCACTTGGGGGTTATAAGTTGACCACCATTTGTCAATCCACTACAGGTGTTGTTCCGAATTCCTAGTTTGATTCCAGTATGGCCAGAAAACATTTTTGTGTGATTTAAACTATTTAAAATTTCCCAAGGCGTGGTTTTATAATCAAGGATATGATCTCTTTAGTGAGTGTTCCATGGGCAACTGAAAAATATATAAATTATTTGGTTGTTTTTAAATTTGGTCAGTACATTTCAATTTCTTTTTTACTTGGTGTATCCATTGCAGTTAGATCCTATTGATTGATGATGTTGTTTAGTTAGGGTTGGGACCAAAGTTGTCTCTACCTCAGGTCTCTAGGACAAAGCCACTGCCTCTCATGAGCTTGGCAGGGCCCCATGAGAAGTGTGCACAGCTCGGGAAGCTGATGCACGGAGTGACTTAACCTTCACTTGAGAGAATACAGACAGTTTTCTCTTGTCCCTGTGAAACCACCAAGGCATGCTCTTACAGATTAGATTTTCTTTCTGTCCCAGATCCTGCCCTCCCTTTAAACTCCCCATGAACTTATTCATAGGCTGACTGTATAAATAAATGCACTGCAGGTGCTAGGCAGTTCCTTTCTCCCATCAGGAGAGAGGGCTCCACCTGACCTTAGTTTGTGTATATCAATTCCTGTCTTTCTTCATCCCCCACCATCCTCCCTCTGGAGTTTCAAGAGCTCTGCCAGATGCAGCAGGTTAGTGTCTATTCCTGTTGATTTTCACTCTAGTAGTTCAATCATTTACTAAGAAGGTGTGTGTTTTAAAGTCCCCAGTGTAATTGTGAATTTTCCTATTTCTTCTTTCAGCTCTCTTGGTTTTTCTTCATGGACACATTTAGCTCACTCTCTTCTTGGTGTATTGTTCATATGTAATGACCCTTCTTTTCTAGCAGTGCTCCTTGCCCTGAAGGCTCCTTCCTCAGACATCAACACCAGCGCTCCTGCTCTCCTTCCACTGTTGTGTGCACAGCATCTCTTTCAGTCTCTCACTGAACTTAGAGACAGCACATATCCACTCATGCTTTAAGTAATCTACCCTGCCAATCTCTGTCTTGCAAATGACAATTAGACCATTCATATTTAAGGTTATTGTTGGGTTTTTTTGGACTCACACTTGCCACTTAATTATTTGTTTGCTATCCATTTCCTCTTTCTTACTTCCTTCCTTTCTTTTTATTTATGATTTATTTTAGCTCCTGTGGGTTACAGATTTTTTTAGGATTTCATCCTGAGTTTTAAGTCTTCTGTTCATATTTTAGGTGATTATATTAGGTTTCCAGAGCTGACTTGATAAATTATCAAAACCTTTGTGGCTTAAAACAGCAAATATGATCTTACTGTTCTTGAGGCCAGAAGTCCAAAACTTAAAGTGTTGGCAGAGTGGCCTCCTTGGGAGGCTCTGAGAGAGAGTGTCCCACCGCTCCTAGCTTCCACTGCTGCTGGCGGTCTGCGGCTTTCCTTGGTTTGCAGCTGTACAGCTCTAGTCTCAGCTCCCATCTCCACGTGACCTTGCTTTTTGTGTCTGTGTCTCAATGCCCCTCTGCATTTCTTTTGTAAGGACGTCTGTCATTGGATTTAGGACCCACTCAACATCCAGAATACTTTCATGTTGAGATCTTTTTTGGGGATGGAGGTGGGGGTGGTTTGAGAAAGTGTCCCCCTGCACAGTTCAGGCTGACCTTGTTCTCATTATGTGGCCCAGGCTGGTCTCAAACTCACTGTGATCTTCCTGCCTCAGCCTCCCTTGTACTGGGATTACAGGTGTGCACCACCACGCCCAGCTCATGTTGAGATCTTTAACTGCACTGGAAAAACATCACATTTCCAGGTTCCAGGGATGAGGATTTGGGGGCACCTTCATGGGTGCCAGTACTCAACATTACAGTGGCTAGTCTGAGTTTTACAAATACATATGAGCAACTTTTTACCCCTCAAAGTAAGGTGTGGAACTTTTACTTCCATTTAGGTCTCTTTTCTTTTTTCTTAAAAATAAATATTTTATCTTAAAATATCAGTGATTTGAATATCAGATTTTGCTATAATTTTTGTTTCAGTCATCAGCTATGATTTTTAAAACTCATTTGATGCTCCAGGATTATTATTTTATTGTCTTCCTTCTGTTTGAAGAAGTGCCTTTAGCCATTATTTAAAGATAGGTTTGCTGGTAAGAAAATCTCTTAGTTTTCTTTCAGGCAAGAAAGTTTTAATTTTTCTTTCACTCCTGAATGATCGTTTTGTTAGATATAAAATTCCCATCTGATGGTTCTTTTCTTTTAGCACTGGAAAAATGTCATGGCACTTCTTTCTGAAATTTCTATAATTTCAGATGAGAAATCTACTCATTCAAAATCACAGTCCCCAACAGATGAAGTGCCATTTCTCTCTGGCCACTTTCCAGGTTTTATCTTTCAGAAGTCTGATTCTGATTTGTCTCACAAGGATATCTGGGAATTTATCCTATTTGAGGTTTACTCAGCTTCCCAGATCTATAGCTTTATATTTCCAACAAATCTGGAATGTTTTCAGCCATTACTTCTTTGAATTATCTTTCAGTCTGTCTGTCTGTCTATCTGTCTCTCTCTCTCTTCCTTGTGGTATTCTAATGATAACAAACATTAAATTTTTTTTTCAGCATTTGGGTGTCAAACCCAGGACCTCACACATGCTAGGCAAGCAATCTCTGATGAGCTACATCTCCAGCCCAAAATGTTGAATTTTGTTAATGTCTCACAGATACTTGAATCTGTTTGTGTTTCTTATTTTTTTAGTAAATTTCTCCTCTGCTGCTCAGGTTTGTTCAGTTCTGTTGTTCTGTTCTCAAGCTCATTGATTCTATATATATGATATACTTACATATAATTATATGTAAGTATAATTTTACCTATGTGTAAAAGCAGTTTTAGGTTCATAGAAAAATCAGACAGGACATTTCCCATAAACTGCCTCATCCCTGGGCAGTCTCCTCTACTATTAACATCTTACATTAGTGTAATGATTTTTTTGAGATAATATCTCACTGAAGTTGCCTAGACTGGCCTTGAATTCACAATCCACCTGTCTCAGCCCTTAGAGGGCTGAGAT